AAGAAAATGGAAACTATTCTAATGGTCAGTTTATATAGGGACTAATCCATTCCTTCATCATTAGCTAATCAAAGGTATGCAAGGGGTTGATGATGCTGGAGTGTTTGGGCCTGGCTGCTTGCAGGAGCGCAGCAGCCCCAGCCCGGAGCACATTCAAACTTCGGCCCCAGAAGCGACTTCACCTGTGGACGCACAAAAGGCCTGTTGTCATCAAGGGTCATAAAGAATAATTGAAGCTTGTTTCACATGATTTGGGTGAAGTCTTGCATGTCTCCAAGAAGAGGCTGGTTTTACGAGCCAATGTGCAAACGAGCTGACGTCGCAGGATGTTCCCATGCCAGCAGCGGACGCAGCAGAGGCTGCCTTTCACTTCCGAATGTCCCACTATGAAATTCCCGTCACTTCTCAGGCCGCCAGCCAACCTCCAAGTTCAATAACCACCGCTGAAGGATCTGCGGAAGTCGGCAGTTTCAATTAGGACGAATTGTCGCTTTCTTCTTGGAGCCGACCCTGCTGCCGACCCCTCTAACCTCCCCATCTTCTGAAGGTGCATCCCACATGACTCCTAGGTCCCAAGTTTAAGACTGATCAGTTTGTCATTCGTTTGCCGTTTTGCTCTTGCCAAGGTCGAGCTGTCAGAGTCTGGCATGCTAGAGGGCCCGTGTGAAGCCATGCGTGATGCAGAGGGGGGCTTGTGGTTCTACTTCATCGATGCTTATGAAGATGACAAAGCCAGTCCACCCCGAGTGTATTTGTTTGGCAAGGTACAGGTTTCAGCGACGCAGTTTCGGAGCTGTTGTCTGGTGGTCGAGAAGCTGGAGCGTTGCTTCCATTTGCTGCTGAAAGTTGAGGATCCGTTGGACGCCGAGGCAGCAAAAGTGGTAGCACAGGCGGCCGCTGGCGAGCTAGAAAAGCTTTGCCCAAACGGTCTGAAGGCGCTTCGCTGCAAGCTCAAGTGGCGGAACTATGCTTTTGAGAAGCCACTTGATCAAGGTTTGGGCAATCTTCCTTTCTTGAAGGTGGTTTGTGATGCTGGAGGAGCTATGCCTCCAGTGGGTCTGGCTGGTGACAACTTCACCCACAGCTTTGGCATGCAGACCAGTCTCCTCGAAAGGCTTTTGCTAACAAAACGTTTGATGGGACCGGCTTGGTATCGACTGCACCCGGGATCCTTCAAGGAAGAAGCCGCAAAACTCTCGCACTGTGCCACAGAGTTTCGGATAACGCCAGCATCCATCCAGGTACCCAAGACGGAAGCCGAGAGAGCGTTGTGGAGCTCACAACCACCTTCCCCACCGCTGCGGGTCCTCAGCCTAAGCCTGCAGACCTGTCAGCAAAGTCCACAAAAGCCCCACGAAGTCCTTGCAATTGGCTGCAGCTTGCATCCAATGGTGAGCCCGGATGCGTCCGTGAGCGAGTCGGACCTGCAGCAGTCGCATCGCACGTGGGCAGCCGTGCGACGCTTGGATGGCAACCCCTTCCCGCGAGATGCTGAGAAGGTGCGGAACAATGAGAGTGCCAGGACCTAGTGTAAGAGTAGCGCAGGCGTAAGACTTCGCCGCATGAATGCAGAGCTTGTATGGCAGGCGCTGGCCGGCAGCGGCTTTCTTAGCTACAACAACGAGCTGGCTCTACTCAATGGCTTTCTGCTGAAGGCAGCTGCAAAGTATCGTTGAGACAAGCAGTTTACAACGCCAAATACTTGGGTAGTTCCCAAAACCAGGGTC